TATTTCCTAGGACCTAGTCCCACAATCCACGAAAATCATAACTTGATTGTTGAAGTACTATATTTTTTTTACAGAACTGACAAAGTGCATAATTTTTTTTGCTATAAATATGTGTGTTTATTTAAGGTGTATTTTATTTTATAGAATTGAATAGCTTACTTTTTTGCTTTCTGATAGATAGATAGAGTTTGGAGTTTTCTTTACGAATTTATTTTGCTTTTACGGCGTATCCGCCTTGTTAATAAAGCTAGCGTGTTACGATTTTTGTTGCTTGAGTAGATGAATAAAGAGACATCCAGGCCCACATAACCTCATTTTTTGGCTTCCCGGCCACGGGCCCCCGGTCATGGGTCTTCTTCTTTTTTGCGCCCTGGCCGCTCGCCCATAGGCCGCTCGCCCATAGGCCGCTCGCCCATAGGCCGCCGCCCGTGTGTGTGGGTGTGTGCGTGCGTGCGTGCGTGCGATGTATTGTTGATGGCATCAACGATAATATTTTAAAAATTTCATAAATTACACAATTATGTCCGACGAAATATTACAAAAATATTGTATCTTCATTTACATTTAATGAAAACTATTTTAGTCAAAATGAAAAGATTCTTTATGATAAAACATCTGATTTTTGTATTGCATTAATTATTTTTCCACGAATTCTTAAATCTTGCAACCATCGGAGACAATAATAAATTAAAGATTATGGAAATTATTATCACATAAAAATTTTAGAGGTTTTGAAAAATAATATCGCATAAAAATTAAAAATGTTATATTAAATACCTTTAATTTGTAAAATGTATTTGTTTCTCTTGGAAATAAATCCCAGTGACGCATCAAATCATCCTACAACTGTTGATGACGTCATAAATTTAAAATTGTCATTATTAATATTAGAATTAAGATTATGTAATATTATTGTTGATTGGATAAATGAAGTAATTATATACAAAGGCATTACAATTTTTGTTGATTTCATCATGATGTTTAGGTATTGTTATTGGAAAATATGTTGGAAAATATATTTGAAAGTAATTTGTAATCTTTTACATTATTTTCTTAAAGAAAAAGGAATCTGTAATTTCGAAAATGCTTGATAGATGGTGTAGATTTACGCTTTGTATATATTTGTTTTTTAGCTTGAAAATATAGGATAATATGTAAAATAATTATTGAATTTAATTTGATATATTTTCTAAAATAAATATTAAAGACTTACTTATTAAATTAAAATTTCTTTATCCAAATAATGTATTTAATTAAATAAAATGATGTATTGTATCAATTATTTGTCGCAAATTCTCAAATTCTATAATCATCATAAATGAAATAAAAATAAATTAGAGGTTATAAAAAATAAAATCACATAAAATTTAAAGATTCTATATTAAATACCTGTTATCTGTAAAGTGTATTTATGTCATCAACGATAATATTTTAAAAATTTCATAAATTACACGATTATATTCGACCAAATATTAGAAAAATATTGTATCTTCATTTACATTTAATGAAAACTATTTTAGTCAAAATGAAAATATTCTTTATGATAAAACATCTGGTTTTTGTATTGCATTAATTATTTTTCCACAAATTCGTAAATCCTGCAACCATCGGAGATAAAACAATAATAAATTAGGGATTATGGAAATTATTTTCACATAAAAATTAAGATTGTTATATTAAATACCTTTTATTTGTAAAATGTATGTTTCTTTATGAAATAAATTCCAGTAATACGTTCTTTATGCGATCATCAACGATATTTTTAGAATCTTGAAATTTATAGACATGTATGTTTTCTTACCATCATTTGACTGTAGTTGGGTCTATCATAATTTCTAATACTTTGGATGGTGATTTCAGGTAAAAATAACTAAATTTCATTACATTAGATAACAATTTTTAATTAATATAACTTTATGAGACACATTTATTTATCTTTGATTCAAACCATCTCAGTTGAAATATAACGATTTTTCATGATGATAGTTCCTTGTTTGTATTAATTTTGGAGTTTCATATTTACTGAAAATAGAAAACAATAAATTAAAAGACCTGAAAAACAAAAGTATATTCAAAGTTATTATTTTATGAAATTCATTTTAAAATGTATCTTTAATAACTAATCAATGGTAATCCTTATATATTCATTGATAAATTAAAACAATGTTCAATTTTCTTTCTTTCATTATTATAAATTACTAACAATTAAATTTCAGTCAAATAATAATCTTAATATGGCAATCAATAATTAATATTTTCATCAGCAAAAATGTATAATTGAAATTTTCCAGTAAATGAAATTTAAAATTGTAAAACTCTACTAAACATAAAAATTCAATCTAAAAATGATAAATATTTTTAAACATGATTTAATCATTCACGTGATATTTCCTTGATATAAAAGTAACTACAATTCTTTCAATGAAACACTAATTTTCAGTCGACAAAATTTTATAAATGATCTTTACCCATATCCGATTGTATAAAAAGGGAGAAAGCCTCGTATTTTCTGCTTACCGAGTGCTTTGCTTTAACATGAGCAAGATTGGGAGTCTTCGGAATGACCCTGATCGATCGGGATTCAGTGCATGGTATTACTAGCCCAAAGAAGTTGCTAACCTTCTATAGAAAGGGTGGCATTTTGGACGTTCTTCTAGAGCGGTCTGGTGGCCTAAATGCTTGGACGCCCACGAGTGCACCCCCCTTCAATATCAATACCAATATCCATATCCGATAAAAATAATTTTAAACGAATTATAATGATTCTTGACAATGAAACTTTTAAAAGTTGTGTAATATCAATATATACTTTCTAATTTATCTTGTTCATATTCTATATAATTCCATTTTAGAGTAAATTGTGGTATCTTTCTATAACTGAAAAACAAATAGAGGTTAGAAACAGTAATATAAACAATAAGTTTAAACATTACATACCTTTCATTTATTAATGTTTGCAAATTGACGTTTTACCACAGATTCTTATAGATTCTTTATGTATTCTAAGGTTATAAGAATGCATTGAATAATCTCTCAACTATTAATGACATCACAAATCCTCAACATACCTCAAGAGTAATAGAAACAAACATATTCATCGCGACCTAATAATAACAAATATTTGTAAAAATTAGGCTTATGTTAGTCTTTTTTTTTATTTTAATGTAAAATGTATATGTATTTTTTTTTACTTCTGATTCAACAGGTTTTGTTCTTGTTGTTGTTGTTGTTGTTTGAAGGAGTGTTTGTGTGTCTAAATAAAAAAAAACACTAAAGAGAGGACGCTAAACTTGCAAAATGTTTAAGTTTTTTTCTGCATTCGTCGGAGTGAAGGCGCGCTACTTGTAACTCGCTCTGCAGCAGGGCAATTTTAGTTTCAGTCTCTTTGATCCGGTTCTCGTTTCGCACCAGCTGCGACTCTAAAGCCATTTTCAACTGGAACGCTTCGCATACCACCCTTCTTTCTTCGTCGTCGATAAACGTATCGAACCAACCGGAGGAGGAGGATGAGCCGGTATGCTGCTGCTGCTGCTGCTGCTGAACCGTTTCTTCGCTTTTTCTTTTTTTTTGCGAGCCTTTGGGGGTGTCGTCGCACTACGGCGCCGTTTTGACGGTTTTCTTACTTGGTGTTGTTGCACTTCCGGTGGTGGTTTTGGCGGCGGCGGCGTATAATGTATGTCGTAGCTCGTTAAAAATTCGTAGAACTCTTCGGGGAGCGATATTTGCTGCTGCTGCTGCTCCATGACGCGCGCCCGACACGACTGTTACATCGACACTGAGACTTATAATACATTCGCGACGTCAATCCACGAATCGTGCGACTTGTCCAATCCCAACCAGCGTACCAAAACTTTTTTACCGCGCCTGCGCAGAACCTTTTCAACGAGATAGACGTCAGGATTGGCCGTTTTTTGCAATTCTTCTTCGTGTTCGTGATCTGCACTTTGACCACAATAGTTTGGTGGTCCAATTCGGCGTGTATCCTTTGTTAAACACGTGTTTCGCTTTACTAATTCTAACCCACGTCACCCACTTTCAATTTCCTAGCTTCGAATATTTTCAGGTGACTGAAAGCGCTCTTCAAAAGTGAATCGGCGTTACTTTTATTCACCGCATTAGGTTTCATTCCCGTCGTTCTGTGTTTCTTGTTGTATTGTTGAACGACAGAGGGCAGCACGTCTGTCCAGCGGTACGCAATGCAATTTTTCTTTGAGTGTCCTTATTACCCGTTCGACTATCGCAGCCTGTTTCTTACTGTACGTACTATAATGATTAATTCCTTGCCCAGATCCGTTTGCAGGTTTTTTGGGTGTCGATCCCGTGCCACTTTTAGAATTTTGGCGAAGGCCTTGGTCACATCCCTACTGGTTTTTCTTTTTAACGGTTCGCACCACACGTATTTTGAAAAAAAAAAAAACCAATCGATAACAACCAATATAAATTTAAAGTTTTTATTTTGTTTAGCATATCGGTCGAGCTGGGCCAAATCGGCCTGCCACCACGCATATGGATGCAATTTTTGCCGGAATTCGAAATCGCCATTTCTGTCCAACGAGACGTAGTTATTTTGTTCTGAAATATTGTGACGTGATTCCTAGGACCAATAGCAAGGAGCCTTATCACGAGATTGAAAGGACCAATAACGATTCGGAAGAGCGTGCGCATTGGAAGGAGTCGCTATTGAAGTTTCGTGAAGCGGTGGCGTGTTAATATATTTTATTTTTTTTCAGTTTAATATACTGATGGTACGTGATAGCTGTGAGGGGTAATAAAAATCAAGAATGTAATCAAGTATTGCTTCAATTAAAATCTACAAATCTTTGTAAAATAGAAATATAAAAATGCGAAATTCCGTTGTAACGGTTTCGTCCGTTTGGCGCGTTTTCCATCCCCTCCCTTCGTGTAAATTTGGCACCCATTTGGTCCACAATAAAAAGAGCTGGGTCAGAAACGTCTCATTTTTACGCGTCGTTTCGAAGGTGTTAAATAAATTTTAAATAAATTTAAAAAGTGCTCTGGATTGTGTGGTACCGGCACGAGACAAAGCTCTGGTCGACACGGGCCTTAAAATCGAATTACCGCAAGGCTGTTCTGGAAGAATCGCACCCAGATCTGGATTAGCTGTGAAGAATTTTATTGACGTTGGAGGTATATACTTAGAATTTGTTTCTGAAGACGCGACGAGTAAAACGAGCATTTTTTAGCCGGCGTCGTAGATGAGGATTATAGGGGCGTTTTAAAGGTAGTTTTATTTAACCACTCCGACTCAGATTTCGATATTAAAAGTGGGGATAGAATTGCCCAACTCATATGCGAAAAAATTTACTATCCTGATTTGGAGGAAGTACAGGTGAGTAAATGATTTTTCCCAAGTTTGGCATTAGTTGCTTTTCATTATTTTAGGAATTAGGGGACACTGTCAGAGGTGAAGGTGGATTTGGATCTACTGGAACTAAATAATGTGATTTTTTTTTGGTAAATGCTTCCTAAATTTGGGTGTTTTTGTACTAGAAAAACAGTTTTTGATTGTATTATTCTCCTTCACTGTTTTTCATTTGATAGTTTAAATTATGTGTTCAAATATTTAATTTATGTTTAACCAAATATATAATTTAGTAATAGCGAAGTATTTTTTTTTAAATTAGACTTTAAGCTATATAAGTTGTAAAGGGGTTACATACAGCAGCAAAAAATTACTTTAATAACACACTTATTGAGTAAAACAGCTCAAGAAAATTATTAACCCGGAGGCCAACGCATCTTGAACGTGATAAACAGACTGAGCGCCCACAGCCCCATCATTAATAACAATTCGAAACCCTTGATCCAACTTCCTCGTTGCAGCTATTTTTCTAATTCTAATTCTTCTGTGATTATTAAATGTTGCATCCCAATCACCACCCATCGTTGTTGTTGTTGTTGTTCAGTCAACTAACACACACACAAAACTTACATTGTTTTTATAACTCCTACACAGTATTTATACATTTCATCCCCCTCCTATCGTCGAAATTGGACGGCACATTGAGTTTTAGTTATCTTGACCAAACACTTTGATAGCAAAAGTAGCGAACTGGACGCGATCAGGTATAACAAAATGAAAATAGTTTGTTTTTGATTCGGGGAAAAGTGCTTGTCGTCGTCGTCACCACTGCCTTGGACGCTTCTGGAGTTGTTTTTGTTTAAAGAGTCATTGCGGCTGCTGCTGCTACTGCTTACGATGCTTTGCCATTCTCCCTGATCTCCGTAACTGCGATCGGAGAAAACCAAACGAACTTTATAATTTTGGTGCACTGCACTCATTGGCAGTTTAATCTCAAACAGGTTGCCGTCCGTCGCCGCCAGATGCATCGGCGTCCAGGTGTCCGGCCATGAATAGGAAAAATTACGATTATCGACGTTTTTGAAACACACATATGCTTCAATTACCCCGATGGGTTTGTGAATATAAAATATATTTTGCGCTAATGTGGACAACAAAATAAACCTGGCGTTTAGCGTAGCCATCGCGTTCTCGAATGACACTGATCACCACGTCGTCAGCGCTTTTTTATAGCGCTCAAACAATGAAAACACCGATTTTGCGAGGGAGCCGGTCCGTCGATATGGGTTCTGCTGTCAGGCCGGTTGTAATGCACAAAACACGGCAGATGTTTTCCCGGTAATTTGTGCCACATATTTAACAATTCGTAGGGTTTCACCCGTTCTATGAGGTATTGTGCCGGCAGCACTTTCAGGTCTTCGCTGTTCAAGTTCGTCGGATGGCTCAACAGTATTTTATCCATCGTGGTCACCCCCTAGTCGTCAGTTTCATTAACAAATTTATAATCTGTTGAAACACGCTCTCGCGTGGACAATTGATGCCTAATAGACTGAAATCCACGTGTCCTGCGTTGATCAATTTATTTAAAAAATTTCTCGCGTGGACAATTGATACCTAATAGACTGAAATCCACGGGTCCTGCGTTGATCAATTTATTTAAAAAGTTCGTTGTACTCGTAATTTGTGCCACATATTTCCTGCAATTACGCGTGCCTATTGCGTCATGATTCACGATTGCATCGTGGAACACCGGCCGCTTAGCGAAGTTGTCCGAACGTTGTCGTAATAAATACGAGGCAAATTTGATCGAGCGGCGCAATTCGTGGCGAAACATTGTGTGTATATTCGTGCTCCGAAAACACTTCTTCGAACAACTTCAATATGTCAATGAATAAAGGAGGTCCTTATTGCTGCTACTCCGCTGCTGGTAAGTTTTTGAAGAATTTTATTTTTTCTTAATTTTTTTAATTTTTTTTCTTCTTTTCAAAAGATTTAGCTCTCTGTCCCATCGACGAATCACACCTGTTGCTTAAGCGGCGCCCCACAAATCACGTCTGGAAGAAACACCCACAAGAGTGGCCGGCATGGAAGGAGCAGCAGCTAAATCAACACGTAGCAAGATTTAATGAAAAAATTGAAGAGGACCGGCAGTGGTACGCCTTGCAAGCTCAAAGGCAACAAAAAAAACAGCAACAAACGACAACCAATTGGACGGGACCAGTCACAACAGCAGATGATGATGAGTGGATACCAACAACAGTTGTAGTTCATATCAAACGACAACAAATTGGACGGGACCAGTCACAACAGCAGATGATGATTGGGATACCAACAACAGTTGTAGTTCATATTTAGATTTTTTGAAAAATAAAAAAACATAGTATAGAAAAAAATGTTTTGCATTTCACACAGATCCAATCCTCGTTAATCATAAAATTCGTCGGGAATTCTTAGAAGTTATCTGTAAAAAAAAAATCTTTAACTTTAACCTAGGGGGGAGTCACCGCACAAATCGGGCGAGTTGAGTGACAAAATGCTATTCAAAATTAACGAAGTTGTTAAGTTAATTAAAAAAAAAATGCCTATCGAAAATGGATACAATTTTTTAATCAAAAATATCGGAAAAAAAAAGTAAATTTATGTCTCCCCCGCTCTCGAACAAAGTAACTGCAGTACTAAATATACGCGGATCATAACTAGCGTTTTTATAGAGGGGACGTGGGAGATGATTTTTTATTCATATTTACGTGTTTTTTTTTTATAATACATGTTGCGCAGATCAAAATAAAACGACAAAGTTTTTTTTGAAAAAAAAAATATTTTTTTTTATTCAATAATGGTTATACTGGCGTATACCCATGAATATAATTCGAAAATATTATTTAGGGCTCAAATCCGTCGTCCTCCGCCCTTGTGAAACATACAGTTCGGTCTCTCTTTTTTCTCAAACTTTGGCGGCGGCGGCGGCGGAGGTACAGTTGCGTCGTGGCCGTCTCGTCGTCGTTTCTCGCCGTCGTCAAACTGTTCCACGTTAATGATGGTGGGCTTCCACGCCGACACTCCAGCCTCTTATCACGTCGTCCACCCTCGCATAGTCGACAAATCCCCCGCTGTATATCAATCCATGGAGGCGATCCTCCAACCACTGCACCCCCGCTTGTCGGCGGAGGACAGCCGCCCATATTCCTTTGGCGGCTTGAAAATGAAATGGCAGCTTTGACTGCCATTACATGCCGCCAACTCCTTGACGACGAAGCCCTCGCCGCCGTCTTGCAGCTGGAATCCCTGCATGTCGACCACCACGAACCGCATGTTTACCGCAAAATGTTTTGACTTCACAAACTTTGTACCACGAACTGGCGCCGCTCGATCAAATTTGCCTCGTATTTATTATTACGACAACGTTCGGACAATTTCGCTAAGCGGCCGGTGTTCCACGATGCAATCGTGAATGATGACGCAATAGGCGCGCGTATTTGCAGGAAATCCGTTTGTAGCCTCGATATCTAACTTAACGTCGACCGTGCTGGATTTCAGACTGTCGTTTCTTCTAGAACAATCGATGACGAATACGGCTCGACTTTTGAACGTTTCGTAGTTGAGCAGGGCGCATCTCTTCTCGCATCCCTTACAACTAGGATAGAAATCCGTGTAATTGTGATGCGCCTCCACAAAATCGTTCTTGTCAAAGTCGAGGCGCGAGCGTTCGTGAGGGTAATATTCTCCGTTTAGCGTTAGTCGTATATCTGTAATATCGATGTGATCGAAATAAGTGGCGTCTTTATTTTCATTATCTTTACGATTTGTTTGAAACGCGACGATCACATAGCGGGGACTCTCAACCGCCGCGCACGTTTTCACTGACCAAATTTCTTTGACAGTGCCCGCGGTCAGGGCTGGATGTTCGTGCAGTTCCCATCTTCGGTACTGTATCAGAATGGGCTGATCCGCTCGAATCGATTGCAACAATTGCAATTTGATTTCGTCGTTTGGAAATATATGTTTGACCCTGAGATCGACGCTATCAATTTTTAATTCCGCCGTGGTCGCCTCGCTGGAAATGACGGCGGCGGTGCCGGGCTTCGGAGTAATAACCATACAATTTTTGTTGTGTCTCGCCCGTACCAATCTTACGGTTTGTTTTCCGCACGTTATCATATTATAATCGTTGAAAATGTTCAAAAAATGACGCAATGGGATCCGCATGCTGAAAGATCCGTCCTTGTCGAGAATAACTCGTTGCGGGAAATTCCAGCCGGCGACGTCTAAATGCTTCGAATCCGTTCAGCTCGTAAGTCACAGTTTCGAAAAAAAAATGCTCCGGCATTGTTTACAAACTCCAAATCGTCGGTCCCCGTGAGCTTTTTTAGCTCGTAAGTCACAGTTTCGAAAAAAAAAATGCTCCGGCATTGTTTACAAACTCCAAATCGTCGGTTCCCGTGAGCCTTTTTAGCGTTCCTTTAACACAAATGGCGGCGTCGTGCATAAGCAACCACGCGTCTCCTTGATTGATCGTTATCTCGATTGTGTCATTGTTGAGAAATGATTTCACAAACGGGTGATAGGTGCAAATTTCCACGCGCTGAATCGACTCGTCATATTTTGGTTTTCTGTGTATGTCGAAAATTTGATTGGATAACATCGTAGCCCAGGGAACGAAGAAAGTGCTTGTTCGTCGGTGTAAGGCGTCCTTTACAGGTACCCCTCGGTCTCGTGACTGACTCTACCGACGGTTTGTTAGGACCTTTATATTCGACGACCTCGTTAAAAATCAACATTTATGATAGCTTTTTCAACTCCAATCTGACGATGATTTCCTCGCCTCGGAAATTGACCGGCTCGAAATTTTGATCCAGAACGTGTAGCGTAATGTTGTAGATTTCTCGCTTGTTTACCGGCAAGTAAGTTAGGTATTTCGGGGTTTCGTCGATCGCGTACCCCGGATCCACGGACAAGGCAAACTTGTAAATTGTGTGCGAAGATCTGTCGTTGTCGAACGCTCCGGACGTTATGTTGCTATCTATATGTATGGTTCTCACTTTTATTATGTCCACAGGCAAATCGGAACAGTGCACGCTGCGGGGTTCCAGAATTTTCCGCGAAAAACCCAACAGTTTTCCGATACTGTCGTCGTGATCTTTAAAGTTTATCCCGTACGTGTCGCTATAGATTTCAAAGTTTATCGTATTGTTGTTGGGCTTGATCGAGATCTCTTCTTTTAACTTTGCATTC